TTTGTCCCTTAACCACGCTGCTTTACTGATCATGCGATTCCCTATTGCATCCAGTTAACACCCTTCAAAACTTTCTACTTATTTCAGAAACACCCTGTATATCACCACGCGATTGTATAGGCACTTTAGAATGACACAAACCTTCAAATGCACGAGAGGCGAACTTTATCGCATTCATGCTGTACATTTGGGAACGGAAGGTTATGCTTCAGATAAATTGCAAAAAGTATATATATTATACTCCTACATAGCCAATTGCTATGGGAAAAAAATAATACAACGTGTAATTATACAACACGCTACTGAAGTGATACTTCTTTCAAACACACAAACGTACCGGGATAGGGGTTAAGGAATTGGTTTAATGGTATTATTTGTACACTATGAATTTAAATTTTACAATATACATGCCGGAGTTGCCTGTAACGAACGTTGCATTGAAGCGCGCTCACGGCTCAACCGATCCCCACTACGAACTCGACTACGTGACCGAGTAGTGGGGGGAGATCCGTTGCATGATTTCGTTACATAGCAACTCGCATGAGACGGACTTACCCGTGCATAAAGAAGTTTCACTTTAAAAATTCTCTGCTGTTATGGTGTCAACTATATTTATTCTCTCTCTCTCTCTCCTCGGACAAAAGATGCAAGGGCTCGAAAGAGCAAGACAGACATTATCTATTTGTCGGGACAGTTTCCACTTATAGAAACTGGCCATGTAGGAGTGTTATATGTATGACAAAAAGTGATAGCTAATGTTTATAAGAGGGAGAAATGTCTAAATTAAGAAAATGGAAGATTTTTGACAGTTTGCAACCCGAGCCTAAGGTTTACTACGTTGTAAACCAGTTCTATCAATCACAATAGAATTAGGAGAAAATTTTTAAGCTCCATTTAACGATTTTGACGCAGTTATAATGCAATAAATAATACAAGTAAGTAATAAGTAAACGAAATAAATGTCTTATTGCTGGGGCTACATTATCAGATCTGGTGAAGGGTCATGTTATCAGGTTATCGCGACATGATTGTTAGAAAATTTGTCACATTGCTCGAAGATTCTTCGCATGGAAAGACGAATGCTGATAAAGCCGTGTCGGTAAATTACCACACTTCACGTATCAAAGAAATTTATCGTGATAAACCTCGCTAGGGTGGCTTCACGTCGTTCCATCAGTTAGCACAGATACTTACAGTGCATTTGCACATTGTTTTGACGGAAAAAGGAACAATTTCGTCCATTTTGCTTTACACAAAGGTTATCACTTGCACCTTTGTCGCCGAAGGTCAAAGATGACATTTTTATCATGACAACATGCCACGAAAGTCCATCCATAATAATGACCGTAGTATAGATAGTATAGAGCATATATTGTTGAAAATGTGTGATCATCGAAGGTAGTGTATGTATGTGTGTCGGATAGAGAGAGAGAGACAGAAAGAGAGAGAGAAAGAGAGATAAACACAAAAAAAGGCAGTAAAAGAATTTAGCCAGTACAGTTGACTATTATTTCCTTGTGCTTATATTATAATCTTGTGTGCAAATGAGAGAATAGATGAGCACACAACGTTTTGCGCTGTCATCACACTTCCAGTAGCATATTCTCTAAGGCTGGCTATTTATGATGATTCATTGTGATAAACTGATCGTGAGTAACAACGAAAATGTTATTAGGTACTTCAAATAATAATGGAAACGTACCCACTTCATACAAGTATTATATCTTATTAAAAATTTCTATCTATAACTAATAAACTAATCAAGAGTTGTCGAAAAATAATAATTAAAAATGATATGGTGGTGTTAATTATTAGATCTTATCGTTAAAAAATAATTTGGTTCCTTTACCTTAATTAAACCATCTTATCAGCTACAAATTTTGATAATCGTATCATCACTTTCCAAAAACATGTTATGAAATTTTTCCATTATCACAGAATGAATTTCGAAAAAAATCCTACCTTGTCAACGTTAAACCACAACTCCAAAGTTTGAACATTCCGTAGTACTTAATTTGTTTGTCTGAAAAATCAACAACTCCATTTTTTACCACACCCCTACAGAAAATACAATATTTTTCCCTAAATATTAAATCTCATCAGCACACCATAGACCATCAAGCAACTTGGTATAATATCTACTTACGGAAGTATGTCGCCATTTACTGAGAACTGCTGCTAACTGAAGTATTTTACCGAGCGGCATGGCCTAGAGGTTTAGACCATTGCTTAGCATTTGGGAGGACGCCGGTTCGATTCCGGGTCCGTCTGCCTTGGTCCAAGTTTTTCTGTGGTTTCCTTGGATCACTTAGGCAAATGCTGAAAGCAGGCTGAAGAGGGCCTTCCGCCCTACCTTCCGGCATAGTCCGGAGGGACTGCCCGCCCACCAGCATTACTGGCTGGTGCGAATGAAACACCCAAAAGTTTGTTTTGAAGTATTTTTCTATGTTATACGAGGGCTTTATAAAAGTATCTGCTCTGAATTCTGGGTGGACGTGCAGGGGGCGTAGTAAGTATCGGAGTCGGTACGATACCTGGCACTAGTACCCGAGGCTGGTGACACGCGATAACCAAGTCGGCAGACGTGCAGCCGTTTTGGATGTCGGACCAGATATTTAGTATTGACCCGAGTATCCACCTAAGAAGGCTTACCAGTTCCGAATCCAACTGGCAGGGATTAGATAGACACAGTCCGCATCAGATAGTTCAAGAGAGCCTTGCTTACTTCCTGAGAAAAACTGGTAGCGATGGCTTAGGCATATCTCAATCCTAAATTACAAGGAATCCCCCCGTTATAATACAGTATAAACCGGATAATCCCCTTAGGTACGCCCTTGTCCAAATGAATCGGCATTAATGAGATCTTAACATCTGGTAGTTTCAAATTACTAGCCAAGAACTTATACTGTTGTTACATATTAATTTTAAATTGTCTTTTATTTGCCACATTCAACTTAGCGGAAGGGGGGAGGGGATTTGTAACCACAAAACATAAAGGGAATTGTCAACATAATCAGTCAATTATATCGATTTCTTTAATTTCATTACTGACATTACTTTAGGCGGAACATTTTTCTTTTTCCACTTTGATGTTACCTCACAAGTATTTGATCGACATGCATGCAACCAGCTGTTTCTATTCCAGCACTGACACTCGACGTTTTATTCGCTTTTTCGTATGCAGGGTGGCGCATTTTACACTTTCTATCTGGATTTTTTGATTGTAAATTCGTCCTTCTTAAGGGTGCGGCAAATACTTTCAAGAATTTTCAATAACAACCTCCTCGTGTTATTTAAGTGACACATAATTTTAAAGGTATTTCAATCTATTAAATATAATAATTAAATAACAAAAAAATTGTGAAATTTTAGTTGATTAAACGTTCAAGTTGTTCAAATTCAGCAACAAAATTCTTGTTCAACATTCTCTGGTACATTTTGCAGAATTTCAGAGGTTATTTCATCACATGCAATCACAATTTGGTGTCGTAGACCTTCTAAAGAGGTAGTTTTCGTTTAGAGGATAACACTCTCTCAATGGCCCCATCATAAGAAGGAATCCAATGATGTTAAATCTGACGACCTTGAAGGCCTCTTGTATCAATCCATCGTTGGAGAAAATGTTGAATCAGAAATTCATGTACAGGGGCTGCACAGCGTAGCAGATCGTCATTTTAAAGAATCTCCATAATGCGAGGGTAGAGTAAATCCTCAAAGAAATTAAGTAATATTCGCCTAGTCAAATTATGAGGTAGAAGAAATGGACCATCAATACTATTTCCCAAAATCCCTGCCCATGCGTTCAACTTTTCGGGAGACTGCGAATGACGTTCTCTCATAATTTTAAAATTCAAATCATTTCAATGTCGTCAATTATGTTTATTGATTATCCATTAAGAAAGAACGTGCATATAGAATATACTATTATAAATTGCGATTGTTCGCAGTACTTTTACTCATTTTCTCACAGAATTACATACGACGATCAGGTCCATCTTCATTATTGCACGAGATGAATATTACAAGAATGAAACCGATGTCTGGTTCAAAATTTTACATGTGAACCTTATTGCATTCATATTGCACATTACGAAATCATTCGATTTGGTGGTTAACCATGTATTTCGTTATACATACAACCAGGGTTGGTACTCCAGATAAACTCTTAACCAGTGGCAGCCAACGTTTTTATGAGATGGAAATATTTCATCTAAGTACCTACATTCAAATTGATTATATCAGCGAGAAAGGTTTGCTACTGGTTTTTGTTGTAGTCTAGGCTTTTAATAGAGGTGTGTCTTTTTTTATTAAAAGTTACCGAAAAAAGTAAGTATTTGTGCTATTAACAATTCCAAAGTGAGAGTAAACCTGTTTAAAACTAGCAACTTATGCATTTATGTAATTATAAGACATTCATACAAATACTGTTAGACTGATCTTGTCCATTCAATGCTACCGAGTTGCAATAAACGACCTTTACCCTTAAAAGCGGCAGTCACTGTGTCAGTTATAAATATATTAATGTCCAAGTGCAGTAGCGAATACTGTTATTTTATTTACCTGGCAATTATCTTTGCGCATTTCAACGTGAATTTATAATGTACCTACACTTTAATGCAACAATCAATAGAACGTAATGAAAATCACGACGTATTATGAAGCAAAATGCAATATTAATTTTTGGTACAATTGATGTAATCACTATTGCGTTTCAATTCGAATAAATTTTAATAATAAACCATGGATCATAGAGGATCAGTATGCAAATGAATATTTTAATCTTATAACAATGAAACCTACATACGTGTAAATATGTGAAATTGATCTTGATCTTTAAATAGAGATGCTTGTCAACAAAGAGAAAACCTTGAACAAGTTCATTGCTGGCCAATTGTCCATATGGTTTCCTAATTTTTTTTAGATTATATATTCGATGAATAATAGTTATTACCATGGTGTACAGTGACCCTGTCTGAATGTTTAGCGGGGCAGGGGAAAGTATATAAGTCCTTAAGGACATTCGTTTCGTCTGATACGTGCAAGTTTCTTGTGCGGAAGTGTTCTCCGATATGTATTACCTGGTGAGTTTATTGCTTATTGAGAAATTTCGATCTCACAACAGTTTTTTTTATTGAAGGTAGTGGTATTAATTGTGTGCATTGTTTACTCGGCCGAATCGTCTGGAGTGACCATCGGAATTCAGTCTTACTCGCGACCGATTGAACACCAGTATTACTCCCAGGATGCTTTAGGATCATACGTGTACGGCTACATCACTCCTCATAGTACGAAAACAGAATTTCGGACGCACGACGGTGTTACAAAAGGTGGATATTCGTACATCGATCCAAATGGTGAGGTGCAAACAGTAGAATATACTGCAGACGCCAAAAATGGCTTCAGAGTAGCAACAACTAATCTGCCCAAGGATGATCCAGACGTAGCTTACGCAAGGCATAAGCATTTTGAAGAATTTGAAAGAATTAAAGCCGAACATGCTGCTTTAGCTGCTGAACATGCCGCTCTAGCTGCTAAACTTACTCAATTGACCGAAAGGGATTGGAGCCAAGGATCCATACAGAAGCTTTTGGGAAGCGTTCACGTTTCTCATAGTCAGGGGCATGACAATTCTGCTTTAGAACGTGCGAGAAATTTACACGAACAGGCCTACAGAGCTGCTTTAGATGTACATCAAAAAGCAGCATTATTTAATGAACGCAGCCATTGGGTAGAGAACCAAAACCGTCACGATGATCAAGAAGGTCAAGAGAAATGGGAAGATACGTGGGAAGCTCAGAAACTTAGGGATCAGGAACAACAACAAAACACTGAATCAAACAATGATCGTGTACAAGAGCACTGGATAAATCAAGGATGGAATCTAAACACTGATGAACATCGCGCAGCTATTGAAGCCACTATAGCTGCTGAAAAAGGACTCATAGAACGTGCTAACGAAGAGCGGAATCGTCAAATTCAAGCCTTACAACAAGCACAACAGTTGTACCAAGCATCGCTATCGCGTTTACAAGAAACCAGGGTCCATCAACATTCTATCCAACAATCGTCTAGTGAAGCACATCAGGAAGCAGCTAGACGTCTTGAGGAAGCGCGACTACGACAAGAGGAAGCTGATCGACAGTGGAATACAATACGTAATAATCAAAATCAATGGAATACTGGAAATCAAGATGATCAGCATCGGACCAATTACGAAGCTGTAATTAGAGCTGAAAAAGAGCACATCGCTAGGGCTCAAGAAGAACGAAACCGTCAACTTCAAGCCTACCACGAAGCAATTCAACGTTACAGAGAATCAGAATCACGTTTAGAACATACTAGAAATGAACAAACTGCAGCATATCAGTCCGCACTGGAGGCTCATAGGGATGCATCACAACGCTTACAAGAAATTGCTCTCCAGCAAGAGAAGGCTGAAAGTTATTGGAACAGTGTTCGCAACAGTCAAGATCACAAGGGAGCTTATGAAGCTGCTATAAATACAGATAGACAAAAAATTGTTCAGGCTAACGAACTGCGCGATCGTCAACTTCAAGCTTATCAACAAGCGCAACAAAGTTATCAAGAATCCGCGAGAAGACTCGAAGAAAGTAAGCAACAACAAAGGGATGCTTACAACGTTGCTTTAGAATCACATAGGGAAGCCACCAGACTTCTACAAGAAACACAACAACAAAAGGACGAAGCAGAGAAGAATTTATACAGACAGTCATGGGATCAACAAAACGAACATCAGCATCACGTCGCAGAAGATCAAGTGAGAATTGTGACAGAAGCTAGGAAAAGAGCTCTAGCAGAAGCAGATCGCGCATTCAATGAGTTTACCTCATCTCATATTTCATCAAACAATCTAATTCGAAACGATGTTCCTCTGAGGGTAAAAGTTTACGCCCCTGTAGAGGTGGTTGGATCAAACAAAGGAGTAACACCTCAAGGACTAGACCTATACTCTTATGGATCTCTCAAAATACCGGAAATAAAAGCGACTGGGGGTTACTCTTTTATCGACAATAACGGGGTGTTACAAACAATGCAGTACGTCTCAAACCATCTTAAAGGTTTCAGAATATCCGACGTTAATTCCGCTTTAGAATCAATTACGAACGAAAATCGCAAGACTACTGCTCCGACGCAGAAAGTTCAGGCAGTTGATCGGCAGGTTGAAGAAATTACGCCACAAATACATCAAGAGGTGAAAGAAGGTTCTATACAAGAGAGCGCAGATTGGGAAGGTGACAGTGCTTCTTATTCCACAGAAATAAAATATAAATAAATATATTGATGTTCCATTTGAATGTAAATTATGCTTCTTTTATTATTACCTTAATTAAGGCAGTAAAAGAAAATTGCGAGTAAGTAAAAGATAATCTTATCAACGAATATTTTTTGAAATTCTATTTACTACATTTAATTGCAAATGAAAGTTGATCTGGGTTAATGACGTAATGAATACAATTCTTTCACTTTTGTTTGATCTACATTTTGGAAAAATATTTTATAGATGTTATTTATTGCATTAATTTACTTATGAAGCCATTTAAATATTACTCAAAAATGGTTAATAATTAAAAATATTCATGTATCTACATATTCACGCAAACAAGAACATAAAAGACTAAATGAGAAAAATATATAAGTGTAGTCTTTGCATACTTTATTTCGAACTATACGGTCATCCTCAAAAGCTCAGTTACAGCTTTATCTTATACTATTCAAAATGTTCAATCTATTTACTTAAAAAAAAATAATAACAGAATGTGCTCATGTAGGAACTCCTTCAGTAAAATGATAACGGTAACAAGGATAAGTAGGTATTGTCAAAGTATGTAAATACCAGTATATCAGTGACATATTTTTTCGATGGTATCTTAATTAATTAAGATAATGAAATTCTTACTGACTTAATACTTATTTATTCATAACGGAATATTCTACAGTTACCTCTCAAATATTACTGAAATTAAGATTCCACCGACCATTTTTTATAGGATTGTAATCTTGTAGTGCTTACCAATCACAAAACTAGGAATTTTCCGCAACTTTTACTTAACTTATTTTTTGTCTGATTTATAAAAAAAAACACCTATGCAATTAATCAATTAAAAAGTAAAACGTTGTTCTTTTGATGGTAGCTTTCTAAAATAAATTGGGGTTTCATTTGCAAAGAAGACGTAGGAATTGAGGGTATTAAAACTGACTGAGAATATTAAATGTCTATTAACAACATCAATTAGATGTCAATTGGCAATTGGCAAAATGGCACAATATTTTCGCATGAAATTACCAACAACAACAGCAAAATCAGCTTAAAAGCGTCATTGTTTTTTTTTTTATTAACCGTTACAATTGAAATGACATCCTACCTGAGCTGTCAGTTTGAGTTTAAATTTGTTGTAACGTACGCTTAACGTTAGCCGAAGGTTCCTGTCAATCATTCATAAACAGAATTTAAATTGCTACATTTTCCAATTTTCCAACATTGTATCTCAACAAAAGTACATTTGCAACTCACTAAAACGGGTGCAATCATCATCATAAAGTCTTTAATACGGTTTGACATGCATCTTAACTTATTTCTGTCTTGAGTCAGTCAGCGCTTTGCTCGAAAACTGGAGCAAAATATATAGATCATTATTTGTGAACAATTCTACCTCTGTCGCTTTTTTTCGATCTTTTTGGATCTCATCAGCGCGTCGCAGGCAGCTCCGACAGAACACAGACCAACTTTTACTTGCTGTCTTAACAGCCCGTTTTAGAAAATACCACAAATGGCGCTGTAAACGCCATCTGTAGTACGATGCTACATTTTAGGATTACGTATGCTCCAACAAGGTCCATTTTAAATATATGGATATGTACTTGCTGAAACGAATCCCGGCGTCCATATCCATATATTTAAAATGGACCTTGTTGGAGCATAGGTACGTAATCCTAAAATGTAGCATCGTACTACAGATGGCGTTTACCGCGCCATTTGTGGTATTTCCCTCTTGTTCAAAAGAAAAAATAAATACAGGAACTATAGCGAAATAAGAAATAATTTGGTATAACTATCTATAGTAATTAACAAATAATGTAAATTAGGACAAACGACCTATTCCAATACAATCTTAATTGAAATTTTTAATAAGTAGGTTTTTTATTGCTGTTTTTTTTCTGTTTTCCTCTGGTAGAATTACCAGGCACTATCGGTGCACGATGTTTTCAACATCCCCCTATGACGTAACCCCACATCTCAAGCATTCTTCAGTTTTTTTTGCATTACCCATCGTCTACGTTTCACACTCTTACAGGGCCAAACATATAATACAATTTTTTGAATTTCGAAATAAATTGATTGCCTGTAAGAAAATGAGTTATTATCGTTAAAACGACTCCTATCTTGCGCTATATTTTGTTTTATATTTCTATCGCTTTTTTCATCCTAAATATCGAAAATTGGCGACTTCTAGTTTTTTGTCTGCTAATCCTATGACAATAAATAATTTCAGTAGTAAATGTTAGTATCAGTTTTGATTATTTATTAGTTTATCAGTGTGTTGTACAACAGTTCCAAGAAAACACTTTGTACCAGTTCCAAGTCCAGTTTTGACGTACAATCAATATGCATTACATCCTAGACAGATATGAATAAATAATAACAGATTTGCGTTACAAAACAAATTGAAAAATAAAAAATATAAGATAATAGTACACTCCTCCAATTACTTACATATGTCACATCCTCGATACAATAATTTCATCAATTTCAAAATAATAAATGGAAAATAACAGATCTTTTTTATCGATTAATTTTGCGATAAAAATTATAGCAGGAAACATACCTTTCTAATTCAATTTAACACGTGTCATTTTGTTGCGTGTATCAGTGATTTAAAAATTTTGAAAAATGTTTATCAGTAATAGAAAATTTTCCATTGCTGTAATCGCTCTTGGGTTTTACTGTTAATTAAAGTTGTCTCCGTATTATCTTCGTTATAAAAATATTTAAATTATTAACATAAAAAGAATATAACAATTTATTTATAGCCAGCGTCGGACAGAGCACGTTAAAGACCGTGCATGCACTGTGAGAAGATCATGAAGAAGAATGAAATCACATGTGAACGACTTGTTCAAGATTAATAAGTTTTAAAGTTTCCGTAACACCAGACAATACGATGCTTTTCAAAATATTTACCTACCACTTTGATTCTTACAAGGTTCATTCAAAAAGCATATTCAACAAACGAATTCATAAATATATATGTACAAGTAGTTTATACATCAGAGTTGTCATTAAACTACGAGGGCAAGTCCAAATGTTTCGCGAAATGAAAGTGCTGTAAAATAAATGAAAATACAAAGTTATTTTTCCTTTTCAATATATTTCGTCATAAAGTAAATACATGTATTAGATCTCGATACCATCAAAAAAATATTTTTTGTCTTTGCCCTAAAATGGACCGAAACAGTTTCTTTGACTTCATTGTCATTGGAAAATTTTCGTCCTCTTAGTTCTTTTTTAAAATTTGGAAATAAATAAAAATCACTAGGAGCCAAGTCTGATCTGTATGGTGGGTGAACTAGTAATTCGAATCCTTTTTTGCGTAGAGCAGTCATCGCAACTCTGCACTTGTGAATTGGCGCATTATGCTGCACGAGCAGCACATCTTTTGTCAGTTTTTCTCTTATTTTTTCCTTGATGGCATAGTAGTCTACAGTAATTGTATTACCTTTTTCTTTGTAATCTATTAGAAAAATTCCTTCACTACTTCCAATTGTAGGCATCCGCTTTTCAGCCGATTCTGGCACCTTAAACTTCATAGGGGGTGGTGTACCCTTTTTGTATCATTGCATCGATTCTTGTTTGGACTCATGTTCAAAGTGATGAACCCAGGTTTCATCTTCGGTAACAATCTTCTCCAAAATCGGGCTAGGTTCATCGCCAAACAGTTCCAAAAAATGGTTACATGCCACGATGATCGTGTAAAATTCTTAAAATTGTGGTATCTGACAGTGTATTCTATGTCATATATAAAACATATCTGTTTCTTTTTCAGGCGAGCATCTTCTAATATTAATTTTTCGACCTTTTCGATGATGTTCGATGTGGTGGCCTCAATCGACCATCCAGGGCGGGGATAGCCTTCAATCGGCTCTCGACTATATTTAAATTACCCATGTCACTTGTATATCATAGTTTTGCTAGGGTAGTGATCATTATAAACGACTTTTATTTCGCTCATTATAGTCTGAATTGACTTTTCTTGCTTTGTCAGGAACTATATCACAGCGCGATGTTCAATTTTTTCCATCGTTACGATTTTTTTCTGAATTAGCTTGTTGGAAGGGTGATCACTCATAAACGAATAAGGTTACAGACTTGAAATTTCACATATGTACTAATGATGAAACCCTAATTTAAGAAATCCACAGTGAGATTTTTTAACTCCGCCACTTCCCTTTCATTCCACGAACTTGTGGACCTCCCCTCGTATGAACTGTCGATCTTTTTTTATGGTGAAATGTAATTCTAAACAATGTAAGTAGATACTAATCGTAAAACTGTTTAAATGAAACAAATTAATATAAAATTAATTAATATAAAACCTACCTATAAACTAATCGCAATGGAATTTTACATAAATTATTTTGACAAGTTGCGACGTGGTTTTTAGACCATTTTGTATTCTTGGAGAACTGTTCAATGTTTCGTAGGTACGATAGAAATATGCATGATGTAAATGAAAATTATAATTTAACCCGGCGCTGAACCATGCGAATTCTCGGAAGATACTTTTGAACCAGGGAAATTTATTTACTTGAATAATTTTGCTGTTATCTTTCGAAAAAAGTCTATTGCAATAATCGAATTAAAACCAGACTCCTATATTGCTATCGAATTTTATAGATTAAACATTAATTTTTCTGGAAAACTTTCGAACTTCATTTGTTACGCCGGCATATAAGTGTCGTTGATGAATAAACAATTTATTACCTTCTGCATTACGAGGGTGGATTGATAAGTTTCCGGCCTAACCAAGAGATGACGCCACTAGGCCTACCTTGAGGTGACATTCTATAGTACCATCCTTGGATAGCTTGTAGCTATAGTTTCAGCCCGATCTCCTTGCTAGTGTAGGTTTGACAGCACGCTGAACAAGACGCCTCTGTGGTTTTCAACAGTTCCAAGAAAACACTTTGTACCAGTTCCAAGTCCAGTTTAGTTTTGACGTACAATCAATATGCATTACATCCTAGACAGATATGAATAAATAATAACAGATTTGCGTTACAAAACAAATTGAAAAATAAAAAATATAAGATAATAGTACACTCCTCCAATTACTTACATATGTCACATCCTCGATACAATAATTTCATCAATTTCAAAATAA